AAGGGGAGGGGTCATCCGGGGGCTTAGGAAGAGGAAATTCAAATACGTCCCGTTTCTCCTCTTCTTCCTGGGTGCGAGGTGATAACAACCCCCGCCCACTGCCTCCTGCAGTCTGTAGTTGGATTTCTGAAGGCGACGTGCAGACCCCTGGGCTAGAAGGGGCGGGAGCAGGGTCCTCCACCCCTGGAGACGGCGGAGAATTGAGATACTGCCGGGTCTTCTTGGTGCCCGAGGGAGAGGTATCAGTGGTGATGATGATGACCTCCGTGCCCTTAGCCTTACAGGCGTCCAGCAGCGTAGCAAGGGTCTCGCGGTCCCCGCGGTCCAGGGCGTGGACAAGCGCCGAGGCGCCGGCGTGATCTCGGACCGAAGGGTCTGCGCCGTGGGCGAGGAGCAGCGAGGCTACCGCGGCGCCCCCACCCCCGGCGCAAGCGTGCATGAGCGCGGTGCGCCCTAGCCGATCTGCGATGTTGGGGTCCGCACCTTGTTCCAGGAGGTAGCGTACCATTCGCGCCTTGTTCTGGGGGTCGTCGTAGCGGGCACGACAGGCCGCCATTAACGCAGTCTCCCCCTGAGCATCACCCTCATTCACGTAGGCGCCTCCCTCCAGAAGCAAACGGGCCAAGCGTAGCTTACCCTGACCCACGGCTCGAAGAAGAGCGTGGCCCTCGGTGTGCAGCATAGCTGCGGCTGGGGCGTGGGCACCAATAGAGACAGGACTGGGACCTGCTGAAGATAGCTAGGGATGTGGGGGTGGAGGCTGGCAGAGGCCTGAGGTCTCAGTGGTGAAGCCGATCCCTGTAAGAAAGAGAGAGATCTTATTGATGAGTTCAGCAGAGAAACTGAGGCACGGATGGAGGGACCCGGCGTGGGTCCACCGCACAGTGCTTCCTCTAACTCATGCCTTTGAGCTGCCCCTTCCCCCCAGCGCATGCCTGAGGAGGTGGGAAGGGTGCACCCTCACTGAAGGAGGAGCGCGCGTGCAAATGCGTACGTGCACGCGCAGGGATATCCGCACCCCCACCCTCACCCCACGGCTTATCAGACCTTTCCAGCATCTCCCTTTTCTCATCCACACTTGGTCTCCCCCTTTCTAGGATGCTGAACGCCACCCACCCACACACATGCACCATACAGTCACACACACATATTCCCATTCCTAACCTCTTTTAGGTTGCCACAGCCCCAAAAATTGAGTGGGGGGAGGGAAGCAGCTTGCGTTTGGGACCTAAAACGGGTGGAGGGAGAATTGGGGGTTTCTTTTGCCCCTGCTATGTTCCCCACTCCTTGCTCTTTCCCCTCCCAGGTTGTGCACCCAAATAGGTACCTGAATGTCCGCAGAATCTCCGCCTGGCCAGGGCTGAGGCCGGGGCCGGCGGGCAGCCGGGGTGGCGGAGCCGGGTTCCCGGGGGCCCACATGGTGCGCGGGATGGGGGGCCACCCGGATTCCTTTGGTGTCAGTATCTGCGTCCGGGCGCCGGATCCTGGTCCCTCCTCCCGGTGCGCCCCGGGCACAACGCCGGCTCCGGAGGAGAGAGGCTGGTGGGGGGG